TCTATTTTTATTCTACTACCATGCTGTTTTAACTACTTTTGCTTTGTACCACAATTTGAAGTCTGGGTGTATAAAATATTTTTTCTTTTTTATAAAGGATGCTTTAGCTACTTAGGGTCTTTTGTGAGTCCATAAAAATTTCAGTAATCATGGCTTTGTTTCTTTGAACAATGGGAAATCAGTACAGAGATGTTGGAAAGAAAGGCAAAAGCAAATGGAACTCCCATCCTGTAACTCAAAAGAAATATGATTAACATGAAAAGATATCTCACTAGGTGGGAGAAAATATTTGCTCCTCCTACACCCAACAAGGGGCTAATATCAAACTTTATGAAGAATTTATACAATTCAACAAGAAGTCAAATAAAGCAAAAAAATGGTCAGAAGAGAAAAACAGACATCTCTACAAAGAAGACATACAGATGGCCAACGGGCACATGAGAAAATGCTCATCATCACTTATCCCCAGGAAAATGCAAACCATAATGAGATACTATTTCACACCTCTGAGGAATACTTTATCAAAAGAGCCAGAAACAACAGGTGTTGTCCAGAGTGTGGGAAAAAGAAACCCCTGTCCACTATACGTGAGGATATGGACAGGTTCTGCCTCTATGGAAAGGGAGAGAAAATTTCTCAAAATACTAAAAATAGATCTACCATATGTCCATCAATCCCTCTCCTAAGTGTCTTAGGAGAGGGATTGATGGACATATGGTAGATCTATTTAGTTGGTAGCTACCCAACTAATACAACATTTGTAGGGCTATCTAATCACTGTGATGCTCACAGAAGCCTAATTTACAACGAGCGAATTATGGAAACAACTAGTATGCCCACTAGCAGATGAGGGGATAAAGAAAACGAAGATAAGGGAATATTAGTCCTAGGTCCATGTTAAGTATTAGAAAAGGAATTAGATATCTGTATAATCATCAACATGTACCTACATATTCATAAGTGCATTACCTTTAAGACTTTATTGGATAGTGGATCTAGACATGGGAAAACATAAGATCCTTTGCTTACAACCTTTGGAATTTAAAAGTTGCATAACCAAAAATTTGGAATTAGGTTGTATAAACAGAAGCGCAGTCGTAAGCAGATGCGCTTAGTAGAATGAACCCTTCTAAAATAGAAGGGGGTTAACTTCTGCAACATCTGTCCAGGCGCAATCCAAGAATTGACAAGTAACAGTGAACAAGAAATGCATGAGTTTTTCTAGTTTTATGTGCTTTTCTAATTCCTTACTTGGACCACAATATTATGACTGAACAAGAGACATGACCGTCAGATAAGTTATAAACCAGGGGTGACTTGGATCAATGCAACTAACAAACATTAATTGGGAGTCATGGAAGACTCTGTACATTGGCAGCAGCAAAGAGATGAACAAGATCTGGTTCCTGCCCACAGGAAGTTTATGAACCAGCAGGGGAGATAACACATATGATCACAGCAAGCATCTGGCGGGAATGTCTGAGAAGTGAACACAAACCCAGCACAGACGCAGGCGACAGAAAGGCTCCTCGCCCCCAGATCCCAAAGATGAGAGAAAGGTTTCATGGAAGAATGACATCTGAAGTAAGCCTAAGAGCATGCAGGTAGCAAACTCTGACAAATCTAGAGGGCCTTTCTGGAAAGGAAAGAGCTGCAGCGTGAAGTCACTTTCTTGGGCTGAGTTCAGCGCCTGGCAGAAGGGCTTGCCTTCCGCAGCGCCCCCTCTTACTCCTGTGCACTGGTCTCCTCACCACATCACCCAGCAGCTCTGCATGCTGCTTATGCTTGTGCCATTGGCAATAGGGCCCTTGGGTAAGGACAGAAATCCAGGTAGAGCCTTCTGCAGAGACGAGAGAGCCAGTGAAAGCTGAGTCTGAAAGCATCAGAAGGACTGATGGAAAGAGGGAGGCCACAAAGAAAAGAAAGACCGCAGAAGAGAGCAAGACCTGTTCCCGGGCGACAAGGCCCTGTACCAGAGCAGAGGAGGGGGAGAGACACGTGGGCTCCAGAAGAAGTTCTGAAATTACTGGATAGTTAACTGGATCCTCTGGTGAGGGAGGAAACAGACCATGGGAAACTTAAACTTTAGAGCTTCCTTTTCAATTCTTTAATTAGAACTTTTTTTTTTTAAAGATTTATTTATTTATTCATACAGAACTGGGGTACAGGCCAGAGATGCGGAGGGTGAGAGGATTCACCAGAGACAGAGTGGGGAGCAGAACAGGCAGATCGACGAAGTACACTGCTGAGGGGAGCAGCGGGCGGGTCAGGAGAGGTCTGCCACGCCATGTGGTCACCTCCGGGGCAGGCGGGAATCGAACTCATGCGGAAGCGGCTTTAGATTCTCAGTGCTGTGCTTTAACCCGCTGCGCCACCAGGGAGGGCCAATTAGAACTTTTTTTTTTTTAATTTAAATTTATTTTTATTTATTTATTTATTTTTACATCATTCTTCATTTTGTGCATTTTTCTCATCTCGGTTGTAATCTCCATGGACTTTCCACCAATTCACCTGCATGCCTCTAAGTGAGTGTTGGCAACATTTACATAGAGAACAAAAGGAACAAACCTTGAGGAAGATGACCTACTCAGGGAGAGAAGCTCAGAAGAGTAATTACAGGACATACAGGCTGGAGAGTGGAGTAGCTGCAATCAGAGATAAAGGCAACAACCTCTCCTTCCCACCAGAGAGGACGTTTAGCAATGTCTTGATACATCTGGGCTTTAATCACAGGAGTAAGGGCGCTGTGAGCTCGAGAGACGCTGTCAAACATCTAAAACGCACAGGACAGACCCTCACAATAAAGAATGACCCAGCCAAAGACATAAGCAGTGCAGAAGGTGAGAAATCTTGGTCAGCGGCTTCAGTGCGAGTTTGATCCTTAATCTCAAAGCTGACCCACATGACACGGTAGACCTCTCCTGACACGCCCGCTGCTCCACTCAGCAGTAGACTTTGTCAGTCAGCCTGTTCTGCTCTTCACTCTGTTTCTGGTGAATCCTCTCACCGCCCCTGCACCACTGGCCTGTACCCCAGTTCTGTATGCACAAATAAATAAAATCTTTTTTTTAAAAAACGCAGAAGATGAGCACTTCAAGTCACTCATTGTGCATGAGTGGTTTGGAGCAAATTAACCATAATGAAAGTGTGGGGAAAGAAAGAGAAGTAGGTGGCTGATAAGATCCTAGGCAACACTACAATGCTGGCAAAATGGGTTCACTAGGTGAGGAAATGTCACTGGCCTTTCAAATGCAGGATGCAGTGGCTGGAGGTGCTTTGAGGGCGTGTTCCAGAAGGCAGGTGTGAATGAGGTGGTAAACCATAGTCCAGATGTGCTCAGGTGTGACCATCCAACACCCTCAATGAAAACACAGCCTGCAGTGAGAGTTCTACTTACAAATTTGTTAAAATGTGGCCATGGGATCACACTGCTACAACACAAGAAAAAATGTTTTAGTGAGATTGGTGCAAAGAACAGAAAAGAGGAAAGTAAAGAAAAACAGGAGGGAAGAGGAGAAAATGACAAGAGAGACAAGGAAAGGAAGGGAAAGGAAAGGGCACCATAGAAGCATCTAGAAAGTTGACAGAATACATGTGAGTGTGATTCTAAGGCAGAAGATGAGAGGTCATCATCCATGATCTTGGGGGACTGTGATTAGGGAATAAATAGCCCTGACCGCAACCTCTGCTTCTTGCACAGAACCATCACTGTTTTCCAAACACTGGATTAACACAAAACGACAGCAGTAACCACTGCATGTACAGTTCTCCAGTACATAAAGAAATTTTGCTGGAATTCTGCTCCAGGGGGCTTGGCAGGTGTGGGGAGGCAAGACAGGACATGTGGCAACTCGAAGCGGAGGGAGGTGTGAGGACGCATCGCGGGCGACCTGGGAGCCTTGGGCTGCTGAGCAGAGGCAAAAGAAGTTTGCAAGAGACAATTAGAAGATGGTTCTTTTCCATTCCAAGAGTCATGTAGCCCACAAAGACAAGATACAGCTGGAAACAAGGGTGACAGCAGTCGACCAAAAGGAGGCATTGCGAACAGGGAAGAGCATGGCCAGGAAAGAGTGTGAGTAGGAAAGGTGTGTCTCGCACACAGGACAGGAAGCCGTGCGAGTGTGCCCAGGCCAGCAAGAGCTTCAGCTCCATCCCGGCTCCACCATTATCTAGCTAGTCCCATGCTCTTTGCAAACAGCAGAATTTTCTGAAATTAGCTTCCTTTGATAAAGTCTAAACTATACGCTTCCTGGGAGAGCTGTGTGATTAAATGAGATCGTGCATTTTAAGCGTTTCACACAGCAGCTGCTGCTGGGTGGGAGTCAGTTGGTGGTAGCTGCTGTTGAATATTGTGGAAGCCCTATCCCAAGCAAGGACTGAAAGAGGAAGAAGAAAGCTGCATTCCAAGTCCACCCAAATATAATAAGCTAAATAAGGTAACATATTTGAAAATTGAAATCTTCATTGTCTAAATTAAGCAAGTAGCTTGTCAGCAGTCTTAGAGCTGGAAGTGGTTTTCAGAAGGCTGGTCAAATTTCCTCATTTACTGATGACAAGCCTATTTTGTTTGGGATGCACTTGGACCCAAAAAAGATTTTAACTAAATCAAAGTGATTCATTATTTTATTTCTATAGAATACAAGAGGAAGAGGAAGTTGGAAATGACAGTTGATAACTGCACACAAACACAGACATATGTATATGTGCACATACATAAATATATGTATAATACACACATATATACACATATTCAGAATTCAATGACTGAATGACTGCTCTCAGCAACTATGTACCCAGAATATAAGTCTGGATGAGCAGGTAAATGATATGCGTATGAAAATGTGAGCTAAGCAGTCTAGCAGAAAGTTATCCTATGACCCCCGCATTCATTCATTTGTGAAATATCTGATAAAGATGGTGGAAGCTTCACAGAGCGCCTCAGGAATAAATGAGTGATTAAAAATGAGGAACTTCCCCCAAGCTACAGTCAGATCACTCACCTGTCCAGCAGCAAATTTGGCGCGAATAGGAGCTTCCCAGGGTGCTCCATGGAACGCCAGACCAGACCAATCATGAGGATCTCCAGCCAGGCACATTCCAGAAGGTGGACCTGGTCATGGAGGGTCAAATCCACAAAGCCTGCAACAAGACAAGAGACACCCTGCTGATTTAATATCGAAGTATTCATTACTGTGAAGTGAATGCGACCACGGGTTGGAACTGGTAGGTCTGTTTTCTAATAGACACAATGACGTTTATGTAACAGAAGCAATCTTCTCTAAGCAGTCTTCTCTAAGCCTGGCATAGCAGTGAATTCTGATGCGGCATTAAGTCCCTTAATGCCTGAGTGTCACATCTACAGAAACTCACTAACTCATACAACCAACTCATTTGAGTGCGGTACTTATGTACTTAATGCTCAAACTTGTATGCTTTCCACTTAGATATTCCTAAGGGCCCTATATGACCATTGCTATCATTTATTTTAATTGAAGATACTAAGGTGCAAAACATGAATAGGAATTGAAAAGTAATTGGAATATAGGCAGGACTGAAGTCACTAGATTTCTGTTTTACTTCATGAAGTCATGCTTTTTTTCACATCATGTAAAAAAAAGTGATACAATAGCATCTGTGAATAGCTCATTTGAGGGAGAATGAGCTTAGACGAATAATGATGATGTTATGACTGTTTCTGGTAATAAACACTAAAGAGTGTCCTTATTTTCTAAAGTCTTATTTGGGATAGCAAAGCTTTTTCTAATGTCACTGATAATGTAGCAGGTGCCTAATAATACTAATAGAGAGGAGAAGGAAGAAGAAGTGGGTGGGGTGAGGAGGAGGAGGGGAAGGAGAAAGAGGAGTGAGAAGAGTGGGGGAATGGGAGTATAGGGAAGGGAGTGGGAGAAAGAGGAAGAGAAGGAAAAAAGGGAGAGCAAGAAGAATGATTCATCGCATCCACACTGTGAAATAGAAACAATGCTAAGTGACACCGGTACACAATTAATTCATCTTTGTTAGTACAGTAGCACTAAGAAGTAGGAACAGTTGGGGATTTCATTTTCCAGATAAGAAACAGGTGTTCAGACAGCTGATGTATTTGGTAAGGTCAGAAACGGGAACATACTCTCCAGGGCCTGCGCCCTTGACCATAGTCACCATTCCCTCTTATGAGCAGCAAATGTTTCAGAATTTGGATCAAGTGACTCCCGCGGCACAGGATAGAGATGCCGCAGCAACAGGAGCATCACAGAACCAAGAGAGCCATCGAGGCTGCTGCTTTCTAGATTAGGTCCCAGTTCTTTTGCTGACAGCCAATTACACTCTGCCGCTCATTCTCTACCCTCAATCCTCCATTCTTCCTTATCTCTGGGTCCTGGCTCCAGAAACCCCATTTTCCTCCTTTTCTTGGCTTTCTCTCACTAATATGCTGTTGTCGGCTACTTATACTTGTATGTAATTTTACTTCCTTGAGTAGTCAAGTCTGATGTTCCCCTATTTGATTTCTGTATTCGTGGAGGTCTTGGAATGATCACAGGACCAGTATTAAATAACTAGAAACTTTAATCACATCCTACACACTTAGATACCATTCTTTAAGTATCATTACCACCAAATATCTGATGAGAACAGAGAGAACCCAAGCTGGAGGACCTCAGACTCTGTGCCCCCTTGGCGAGCTTCCCCAAGTCAACTGGGCACCCTCATCAATTTTCTTTGACGTAATGTTAACATTCCCCTTCCTTTCCATGAATCCGCCATTCCGATATTAATTTAGTTTTCCAGGGTCTCTCACCTTTTTGTTTAGATGACTGAGATTCAAGCAGGTGTTGCAGTCATCACACTACCACTGTACTTGTAACTTGCAGCTCCCTCACGACTGAGGATGTTGAGCATCTTTCACACACCTCTAACAGATAATTATCCTATCCCATATCCATGTCAAATACGCATGTGTCTATAAGTTCTGCTAGATTGTGTCCTCATTTAAAGCATAGATATGTGACTCCATCAGCACCTGCTTTGGAAAAGTTCAAATTCACTGTACTTTTGCTCTGTCCCTCAGCCATGCCAAGCCTCATATCAGTGTAGCTTTGCTTGAGCCAGTGTCTTCCTGTCGCCAAGAGCGGGTTTCACCCAGATAAAGCAGGACTTTCAGTTGGAGAGATAGTGGGCATCTTTATTCATAAGAAAAGCAAAAAGAATTTTTAAAACAGTGATTGGATTTTAGGCATCTCTACAACCTGCAGCTGTTAACCAAATGAGTTCATTGGGCAAAGTAGACTAACCTTGCTCTGGAAGAATCACTGCCTGCAAGAGCAGGAAGGACCCTCCAGCAATACCCAATCCCCGATGGGGAAAAAAAAAAAAATCCAGAGAGCAGTGCTTAAATAAACCCTACAAGGGAAGTTTTATGCCTCTAAGTTTTCACGTCATTCTTTTGTATGAAGTCTCATAATAGCAATATAAATTTATACTGTAAATTAAACTCACTTTCAAAAATAATATTCAAAAGTGAGGTTTTCTCTCTTCTCATCCCCTGTCTTACATGGAAACTATAGTCAACTGATAATGTCACCTATAAGGAAACCTACACCAGGCTCTTTAACACTCTCCAGAAACCTGGAACAACCACCGGGAATGAACTCAAAATATCTGGCAAAATAACTGAAGCTGGGACCTCCCTGGTGGCACAGTGGTTAAAGTCAGCACTATCAAGCTATCATCAGCTTCTGCAGCATTAGCTTGATCCCTAGCCAGGGACCCGACCCATAGGTCCCGTCCCGCTCTCTGCTCCCCTCAGCAGTGGATTTCAGTAGACACACCTGTTCTATTTCCCACTCTGTCTCCAGTGAGTCCTCTCAATAACCACACCCCCTTTCTGGCCTATACCTCGGCTACTGTATGCATAACTAAATAAAATATATCTTTACAAACAGAGAACTGAAGCTGCCCATGTACCTGATCAATTTCAGAAAGCCAGCAGAGCTCTATCTGGCAGCAATCTTACATATTAGTGTTATTTAAGGCTGACAATTTCAGTGGTCTTGAGTCCTAAGGAGCTCACCGTAACTGCCAATGCCACACAAGTCAGGTGATTATGAAATCTGTCTGAAGTATGTTTGTTAGTAATGTTTTCAGTCTTAGTCCAGTAAAATTTCTGGGTCCTTTGTGGAAAACAATGTAGCACTCTCTCTCTCAAAAAAAAAAAAAATCCCTCTATTCAGTGTTCAGCGCTCTTTCCCATCTTCGCACAGCCTGGCATTATAATACTCTTGAGCAATATCCCTGCCTGCTAGTTCCTGGGAAAGGGCTGAAAAGATGCAGAGAAGATGACAATTAACGTCCTCAAAGAACATGAGAAAAGGGAGATGACTTCCTCTTGAAAGAAGTTACCAGACCCTTTCTTCTACTATATCTGTCTTGATACCATTCTGCCCATAGAGGAACTGAATGCCTTAGGGTATGTAATACCTGTTCATTAGTACTCATGGCTCATAACTAATGGAGAAAAATAATAAATCTCAAACAAAATTATATTGGGCCAACTATCTATACACATCAAGCATCAATCATTGACTAAATGTCCCTTTAAAAATCAACTTCAGGGACCTCCCTGGTGGTGCCATAGGTTAAAGCACAGCACTGAGAGGCTAAAGCCACTTCCACATGAGTTCGATCCTGCCTGCCCCAGAGGTGACCACATGGCGCAGCAGACCTCTCCTGACCTGCCCACTGCTCCCCTCAGCAGTGTACTTCATTAGTCAGCCTGTTCTGCTCCCCACTCTGTCTCTGGTGAGTCCTCTCACCGCCCCTGCACCTCTGGCCTATACCCCAGCTCTGTATGCATAAATAAATAAATCTTTTAAAAAATCAATTTCAGGCCCTCCCTGGTGGCGCAGCAGGTTGAAGCACAGCACTGAGAAGCTAAAGCCGTTTCCGCATGAGTTCGATCCCCGCCTGCCCCGGAGGTGACCACGTGGTGTGGCAGACCTCTCCTGACCGGCCCGCTGCTCCCCTCAGCAGTGTACTTCGTTGATCTGCATGCTCACCTCCCCACTCTGTCTCTGGTGAAGCTTCTCACCACCCCTGAGCCTCTGGCCTGTACCCCAGCTCTGTATGCACAAATAAATAAATCTTTAAAAAAAAATCAATTTCAACTGGAACTGTCCTGATAAGAGGTATTTGACACCCCTCACCACTTGCTAGCTACTCCCCTGGGATATGAGTACAAGCATCAGTGACAGAGATCCGTACAGGTGACACCAAGGTGACCAACATTGGCATCACATGGCAACTCCTAGTGTAGTGACATGACAGGGTGGTATCCAGAACCACTGAAACAGAATGCACAGCCCCAAATGAGCAACAGTAGTTTATTACATCAAATGTTCAGAAATCCCATTTTATAAAATAAAATTTTAAAAGAAAGCAAACCTGGGCTTTTTTTTTTTTTTCATAGTCCACATTCACAAGTCTAGTAACTGAGTCAGAGACAGGATGTAGTAGAATCGGAGAAGCATCTCAGTCCAGCTCGCCACCCGTCAAGGGCAGGGGTCTAATGAAATGCACAGAGGTGTCTTCACAAAGACCCCGCCCCGTGCATAGCCAGACTATCACCAAAAAGACATTCCCGTACTGTCCTCCCCTACAAAGTAACTGTCGTTCCTCCAGTATGGTTAACTTGGTCTTGACCTGAAAGGAGCTCCTGTGGGATTTACAGACCCCTTCCTGCACGCCCACAGAGAGCCACACATGGGCTTGTCTCATGCTGGCAAACGAGACTTAAAGCTGCCCCTCTCATCCTGGGGATAGCAAGGCTCTTAGAAATGATGCTGGAAAGTGTGCCGAGATCCTTGGATAAAAATGACTAATACACTGTGCCTGTTTGTGTAGCTGGCACTGCTAGAGATTAAGAGATAAATCTGAATAGCTCTTCAGCAGAGGCATGAGAACAATTAAAGGCTGCAGTAATTATGTTTCCTATTTCCACAGCTACAGTGTGCAACACTGCAAAGTGAAGTAGAAATTTTGCGAAGGAAAAAAAGTCACTTTTCCCCCAGGGAGTGCTATGGATAAAGCTAGAAGCCAGGTGGTTGGTTCCCTTAGCAAATCTACAGAAGGAAATAATGGTTTCC